GTGAATTTGTAACGCCTCCCACTCCAGTTTGGGTGACATCATGCACATTGAAAGGCTGAGATTCAGGCACACTTTCCCGTGATCATATATTCCGTTTCTTATGTTCCTTGTGTATATATTATATTTTTTTCTTTCACAAAAGTATAGAGATAATTATTTTATATTATATTTTTATATAATTTTTATATATTATTAAATAAATATATATTTAATGTTATCGTACCAAATAAATAAAAAAATTTATCTTAAAATCTTTTTTTTTTCTTTCTATATCAGCATGCTCCTTGTATAACTGTTAACTCATCCTCAACTGCTATTAGGTTCTCAAATCGATTGAAAATATGATAAAAAGAGTACGTGAATTAAATATAAATATAATTATTTTAATTATTATTCATTAATTTTAAATCAGATATAATCTTAGTAAAAGAGTAGTACATTTGCTCGATCGAACTTTTATCAAAGTCAAAACAAACCCCAAAGATGCCTCCATTACCTCTCACTTCTCCCACATAAAATGCCCATCGCTACTTCAACTGAACCAACCCATGCAATGGACAACCATGATTCTTCCTTCTCTAGTCTCCGCGCCTACCTTTCAGCCCTGGCCCAGACCCCAGGTCGTCTGACTCGTCGAGCCCTCTCCGTTTCTACGTCCTATGACGAAGTGAGTCGGATTAGGGCCCGCTCCGGCTCGGACATGCATAGGACCCTCCGGGGGTTCGACCTCGTGGGGCTCGGAATTGGTGGTATGGTAGGTGCTGGTGTCTTCGTCACCACTGGTCAAGCCACCCGCCTCTACGCGGGGCCCGCTATCGTCATCTCCTACGCCATTGCCGGCCTCTGTGCCCTACTCTCTGCCTTTTGCTACACCGAGTTCGCCGTCCACATGCCGGTGGCCGGCGGCGCCTTCAGCTACCTTCGCGTCACCTTTGGTTCGTTCATCACTACACCCTTTCTTACACTTCACAACATTCTCAACCAAAACAGAGTTTATTGATACTTTTATATATACAGGGGAGTTTGCTGCATTCTTGACCGGTTCCAACCTGATAATAGAATACGTGATGTCGAATGCTGCGGTGGCAAGAAGCTTCACATCTTATTTAGGCGCTGCAATCGGTATCTCCACCACAAGATGGAGATTCACGGTCCCTGGATTCCCAAAAGGCTTCAACGAAATCGACTTGGCCGCCCTAGCAATCGTTCTTCTCCTCACTTTAATCATCTGTTACAGGCACAAACGAAAACCCAATTTATTGATTCATCATCAATCATCACCACAATGAAATTAGTTTTTACTTTTATTTATTTATTTTTTTTTTCAGTACGAGGGAGAGTTCGTTGGTGAACATGATATTGACGGCATTGCACATAATGTTCATAGCCTTTGTCGTTCTGATGGGGTTCTGGAAAGGTGACTCGAACAACTTTACCCGATCCAGAAATCCAGAACATCCATCAGGATTCTTCCCGTTCGGAGTTTCCGGCGTGTTCAACGGTGCCGCCATGGTTTATTTAAGTTACATTGGCTACGACGCCGTTTCTACCATGGCGGAAGAAGTCCGGAATCCGGTCAAGGATATCCCTATTGGAGTTTCCGGCTCCGTAATCATTGTCACTGTTCTTTACTGCCTCATGGCCGCATCCATGTCCATGCTCCTCCCCTATGATATGGTAATTGTAATTGAAAACTACTCTAAATTCTTTTTTTTGGGAAATAACTGCAATGGCCTTGTAGTTGGTTAGTTGTTGTGTGGTGATGATAAAATTGACAACGCAGATCGATGTGGAGGCGCCGTTTTCAGCGGCGTTTACAGGGCGATCGGACGGATGGGAGTGGGTGTCAAAGGTGATAGGATTTGGGGCCAGCTTCGGGATACTAACGTCGCTGTTGGTGGCGATGCTGGGACAGGCTCGGTACCTGTGCGTCATCGGACGGTCCAACGTGGTCCCCAACTGGTTCGCTAGGGTCCATCCTGTAACTTCCACGCCTGTCAACGCCTCTGCTTTTCTTGGTACAGTTTCCTTCCATTAATATTTTAATTTCTTGAGCTTTGTCTTCTGCTGTAGGTGAGCGCCGAACTATCTATATGTCTATCTCCGAAATTTGAATTAGGAGGAATACACATGCTATTGCAGGGTTTTGAATCAATGGCAATTCAGAGTTTTGTAGTTAATGAACACTAATGCAATCAAGCTTGATTTGGTTTGAATTGTATACACCGTGTATCAGTATGTGTAGAATACTTTTTGTCTGTATTGGTCCTAGCTATTACCATTAAATGTGGAGCTGAAACGCTTGAAACGGTGCCCATGACTGAAAACGATCTTTTTCACAAGGTCACCATATTGAAAGTTACTCTCAAACATTGATAGGAATCATGAGTTTGATGTATGTGGTCCATTATGGGCAGTTCAACGTGGCTTTGCACTTAGGTCTTTCAAGAGACCTAAGCTCCATATGATCTCTCTTGAAGTTTTCATACAGTTGGATTATGTGTTTGTATTGGGATATTGTATAGAATCGATTGACATATTCACTTCCTTGTGCTAGTTGCTTACTCATGCTCAACCTTTTATTTTCAGGAATCTTCACGGCCGCCATTTCACTTTTCACGGATCTGAACGTCCTCCTAAACCTTGTATCCATCGGTACTCTCTTCGTGTTTTACATGGTGGCAAATGCCGTAATTTATAGACGTTACGTGGTGGTGGGGACAACGAAGCCATGGCCTACATTGTCCTTTCTTTGTCTATTTTCCTTGACATCCATTATGTTCACCCTTTTGTGGCATTTTGCTCCTCCAGGCAAGCATAAAGCCGTAATACTTGGCACTTGCGTGGTCATTGCGGTGGCAATATTACAAATCTTCCATTGCATGGTGCCACAAGCTCGAAAACCAGAATTCTGGGGTGTCCCCTTAATGCCTTGGATACCATCTACATCAATCTTTTTGAACATATTTTTGCTGGGTTCTCTTGATGGACCATCCTATGTGCGGTTTGGAATTTTTTCAGCTTTAGCAGTCCTGTTGTACATGTTATACGGCGTTCATGCTAGCTTTGATGCCGAAGGAGACTGCTCTTTGGGTCCAAGGGACGGTGAAAACCACAAAGAAGAAGTATCAGCAGAAAGTGAAGATCCTAGTCAGAAAGCGTAAAAAGCATCGATCTTTTACACCAACCATTTAATGTAGTTGATGAGGTACTTCAGAGAGTGGAATATGAGAGAGAGAGAGAGGAATATATATATAAGAATAGACTGCAATTTTGCAGAATTGGCAACTTAATTGCATATATATAGTTGGTATTTTGAAAAACGGTTTAATTAGATTCTGATCCTTTCTGTACGTTAAAAATATGTATATATGCCCAATGATCCACCAACTTCTCGAGTCTTTGAAGTCTGACATAAATGAAAGCAAACCATTACAGAAGTTCCACAATTTTGTCCTGAGGATAATCCATCCATATTTTGATATTCTGATTTTATTCTTCCATTTGAACTCAATCATGATCTTGTTCTTTAAGAGCATCTTTCTTGTAGAGAATTTTTAGGTGAAGAATTTAGAAGCTTAGGGTTGAATAATTTTTCAATCATTCAAAGTATTAGGGTTGAATTACATATATTAGTTAATTTTTGAACAATGATATATATATATATATATATCTTATACAGTTATACATTTCGTTACATATTAATGGGTATTGACGGAAACCCGTCAATATGTAACAAAAAACGTTAGTTTTAACAGCACAACTAACGAAAATCATCAATTTTAATGGCACAAATAACAAAAATCGTTAACTTTGATAACATAAGTAACGAAAATTGTCAATATATAATAGAGTGTGTAACTTTACAGGATGTACCAATCATTTTCTTTAATTTTTTTACGGTAATTACATATACTGGGATTAGGATATTAGGAGGACCAATCCTAAGGTGACAAATTGTAATTGGGCTATGTTGGTTCCTTATTTGCTTTTATTCATAAAAAATAAATACATTTTGTCCGCTGCAATCTCAGTCTTATTCATCATAATTAAATCTTAATATATGTAATTAGCAGCAGCAGCAGTCATATATCTTATATGCTATCCCCTTCTTTGGTTATATAAAAATAGTCAAGATACCGCGTGAAGAAGATTAGGAAAAAAGATATATAAACAAGCATATATATATTCCTCAATTTTCTTTTGGTTGTTCTCAACTTTTCCTGAGAAAATCTTCAAGCATTTTGATTGGAAAATTTCAACCCCACTCAAGGAATCGTTACCTGAATTCTTCAGCACATGATTGAGTTCTCTGATATTCTAGACCATGTAGCATGATATGATATATATTCATCTTTCACTGTAACTTACTTTCCATTTTTGTCAAAATTTCAGTCACCATCAAAACTATTCTAGGGTCAAATTGCCAAAATAAAAATCAGTGCTGTGAAGTGATTCCATAAAAAGTAAAAGGAAGAATCTTGAAAAATGAAGGGGATTTTGATTCCATATGAGTGGAGCTGCAAATTGCAATTTGGTATGTGTAAAGATTTTATTTATTTATTTATTTTTAGGAGGGGTGAGGAGGGAGGGAACAAAGTGTACCAACTGGTGGAGTGGTCATAAAAAATGACAGAAAAATGCACCAAAACATTGTCCACTGCCATCTACTCCAACTTGCAGTTTCTAACTTTATTGATAAACTAAACCATAAATCAAAAGAATTCTAAATAAGTTTTTATATCTCCTGTTTGGCCCTTAATTTTTCCTCCCCTTTTCTGTTAGTATTTTTTTTTATTGATATATAAATCATAAATCAAAAGACATTCTAAATAGGTTTTTATATGTCCTGTTTGGCCCTTAATTTGTTGATCCCCTTTCAGTTAGTACATATTTTGTGATCCAGTTGACAAAGACTTGGGTCTTTGTCAACAAGATCACAAAATTGTAGAACTTCTGTAATGGTTGCTTTCATTTACGTCAAACTTCAAAAACTCAAGAAGTTGGCGGATCATTGGACCTTTATTTATATATATATATATATATACACACACATATACATATTACATCCTAATGAACAGAAGGGATCACAATCTAATTAAAAACTTTTTCAAACATCCCCCTCCCCTGTGCACTTCGTTGGGTCTTGCAAGAGAAATAAAGCATTACTTTATAACTCCAATTTCTATTATGAAAGATATAGAGAAGAAAAAGAAGGGTGAGAGTGGAAGTAATTAAGAAAATTAAAATTATATTCAAAACAAAAAACAGCTTTCAATGTGATTGTCATGAATGAGAAAAATAGGCAAAATCCTACATTAAATCCCCAAACTTATTTTAGATTTTTTATTAAATTCTTAAATTTTTATTGAAGTAAATAAACCCTTAAACTTATTAATTTGGATAATTTAATTCTTCTTGAAACTCAACCCCTGTTTGTGCCTTACTTGTGTTAATAAGGTCAATACTAGCAACATAGACAATGACATATCTATGCCTTTTCCACATAAGCAATGTATAAATAAGTGTTAAATTTGTTATAAAGAAAATGAATTAAATTACTTAAATTATTAAATTTAGAGCCTTATTTACTTAAACAAATAAAAGTTTAGGGACTTAATAAAAAATTAGAGATAAGTTTAGAGGCTTAACATAGAGTTTTGCCAAAAAAATATGGGTCCAAAATTTTTTATTACAATTTAAAATATCATTATATAATTTCCTCTTTCTTTAACAAACTACATATAATAATGTATATATATATATATATATATACTAGTTTAATGATATATCAAGATTATAAATTTATAATATTATATGATATTATAACTATATCATTACATTCTTATTAAATGGAAAGCAAGTTCAACCAAAGTCAGCATCTTTGCATGGGTGATTTATGGCATTCCACCTCAAGTCCTCAAGATTCTTTTAGTTAAGAGAATATTTCTCCACAAAATAAATTTGATTGAATTTACTTGGCCCAGCCCATAATCTCAAATTGGACAGATCTGCAACTCTGGGACACTAATTGGGCTTATCTAATGTATCATTGTTGCCTAAAATTAAATTATTGTCCTTAAGTAATTATACTGTTTTGAGTTGACCAGGTGATGACTCGACTCTTATATAACAGAGTAAATAATGCTTAATTTTTTTTTTTATGTTGAACAGTGCTTGAGTTAGATTAGGAGTGTTATTGATATTTTCTATTTCATTATAAATTGGATTTAAACTCTTAATCCTATTTTTAACCTAATATATATTCATTATAAAAGTGAGGATTTTGGGTCTTCCTTCACCTTTGGTACACACAACATCAAGAAAAGTGGTCGCAGAAACCCAGAAATAATACTTAGCAGGCTGAGTTTTCAGGTGAGGAATTTACGTTTTAATTCCTTCATTCCTTCTTTTAGTGATGCATAAACTACTTTAAATTTGTTTAGATTTCAAAGTTAGATTTATTTTCAAGTTTAAATCTAAATAAGAAGCGTAAATGATGGGGGACATATTAATTAGACTGTTTCAAAAATTGATGGGCAAGTCTTTGATGAAAGATCGATCATCACTGGTGGAGAAAAAATTCTCAAAAAGCATAAAACAAACTGAAAAAAACCTAATTATCATTTTTCCGTTTTTATTTGAAGGTTTACAACATGATATAATTCCTCACAATCAACCTAATTTGTACCAGATGCTGTTGTGAACTAGAGTTAGACCACAAAAAAGGATTTTATCTTCGGGTTTAGGAAGGGAGAATGTAAACAAGAGGATTTGAACCTACAGCTTTGCAGTTGGGCCACTGGTCAAGGGACCAACTATGAAATCTTTCCTGTATACAAAAACAGGTTTTTGATTTTGTGGATATTGGTAGATAGGTTATCGAAATTTCATGCATCATATAGAATGTAAATAAAAAGTACAGTTCAAATTATGATAGATTATACTAAATAACTTTTAGATGATGATAAGTTCTTTATTATTAGCACAAGTCTTGTAATTTTTAAGTTATCTCATTTTAATATGTATTTTTTTATTTTAAAGTCTGAAGTCGAAACTATAAAAAACAATTCTATTAAGGGATATCCACACATTTAATAAATATAGAAAATCATGGAAGACAAAATTAATTACTGTATAGTTCCAAAGATTTCTCAAAAAATAAAAATACCATTTTTTTTTCTCTTTCTGTATTATTCTTTTTATATGTACATTTATTGAGAATATACCATTTAATTTAATTCGTACTTTATAAAGATTTACTTGATTAATTATGTTTCATTTATTTATAGATACGTCTCATCATGGGAGAATTAGAAGGAAGAAAGAGACCTTCAATGGAAATGGAGATGGAAGACCAAAATGAGCAAAAGAAAGCAAATCTTGACTTGAATCTCACTCTCTCACTGCCGGGGTCGCACCAAAAAGGAGACGAACCATCAAATATGCCGTCCAATGATGCATGTACACCGCCGTCATCTTCCTTAACCCAACCTTCATGCACGTCGTCGGTAACCCTAGACACGAGTACTAACTACGTAGAACTACTTGGCAGTGGAGGACCGGAGATTCCGTCGTTGATTCTGATGGGGTGTGCTCGGTGTTTGATGTACACCATGGTGTCGCAAGCTGATCCAAAGTGCCCCAAATGCCAGTCCTCTGCTCTAATAGACGTATTCCGCCAGAAGCCTAACGGCAAAGAGGGTTAAGAAATCCGAAAAACCTTGCTCTAAGTCCTATTAGATTTTGTCAATTTTAGATAATATTTGTCTAAATCATGTTGTTTAAGTGTTCGTTTTTCCTTAGCATGAGTACACATTTTTGTTCTTTTTATTTGGGCCAGCAAAATCGGAAATACCTTCTTCTTTTTTTATTCGAAATGCTTAAATTTGTTTTAATATATATATATATATATAT